AGTTATATTTGCCAGTGTCAAATAGGATATCAGCTAGACAGTGACAGCCACTCTTGTAATGGTCAGTTAAAAAATTAGAAAGCATAAAAACTATTAGAGCATTGTGTTATAGACATTAATGAATGTGGTACTTTCAATGGAGGATGCAGTCAAAGTTGCACTAATGTCATTGGCTCTTATACATGTTCCTGCCAATCAGGATTTGTTCTTAACAATGATAATCACAACTGCACAGGTATACTGAAATGAATGAATTTTGTGTAGCTATTTTTTATTAAGATGTGAATGAGTGTCTTATTAATAATGGAGGGTGCCATCATAGCTGTGTTAATACTATTGGAAGTTATTCCTGTCAGTGCAATCAAGGGTTTACATCAACAGACAATGGAACAAATTGTGTTGGTATGTATCTGTGACTTATTCATACTACTGCACTATGCATAGATATTGATGAGTGTCTTACTGCTAATGGAGGATGTGAACAAGTTTGCATTAATAGCATTGGGGGATTCAACTGCTCTTGCTTGTCTGGATTTATTGTAGCCAATGATGTATTTTGCTCTGGTATGTTTAAACTTGCACAATCAAATAATTATACTCTACTAATTTTCTTCAGATATTAATGAGTGTGAGCTAGGTATAGCAAGTTGTTCTGATGGTTGTAGTAATACTGTTGGTAGTTACAACTGTTTTTGTCCTATTGGATATGAGCTCGCTAATGATAATTACACTTGTATTGGTAAGTTAATTAGGTTAAATTGAGATCATATTAGCAATACTGCTAGTGATTTTTCACTTCTATTAAATTCTGTGAGATGCATATACAATGTGTATAAAAAGTTTGATTTGATTCCAATTAGTAACGCGGTAGCGTTACTAAGTAGGATTCACCCCAAAACAAAATGTCTGCCACGACTTTTGCAGCCTTGCTATACGGGGAAAACGAGCTCCTCTGCTTACCAGACTTCATAGAGGACCTTATCTTGACCAGAGGACTCCATTGGTACTACTAGCGTGGCTCTAAACCTTGTCTAAGAGGAAAGTAAAAAATCGGCAAATCGGCCGTTTTGTTCAGTCCACTTTTTTCGTCTTCATCATCATCTTCTGTCAATCCAGTTAATGGAGGGTATCATGGTCTTTGGTCAATGCTACAAGGCTAATTTTTACACCATTCTACTCCAACTATCCATGCGCAGGTCCACAACTTTTCAAAAAACTCTGACAATAAGATAAAGTTGCCCTCTCTCTATCACCCCAGCCCAGCTCACCTCATTCCGCCATTTTGTTAATTAAAGAAACACGACTTAACATGTGCTCCAAAATATGGGTGTGGTCGCGCATGCTCAGATCTCAGAACTGGGAAAAGGGAGCAATTTTTTTATCTAGCTCTGCTTGGATCAACTGCAATACTTAGCGGAGGTTCCAGGCTTCCAGTTTCAGCTAAGAGAACTTAAGGTAGTTAGTCTTGGATATTATTGTTTTATTATGTGTGTTCAATAAATTGTATTTAAAAATACAAAAAATAATATTAATTCATGTTTTACAATGATCATGCATAAACTTGCAACAGAAACAACAGTCAACAGGACAAGATTGGAGTGAAGAGATGGGTACTGTCACTTCTTCTTAAACAAGGATTTATGCCAAGA